GCACTGAGTTGCCGCCATGTGATTGGCTGATTAGAAATTAAGTGTTAACGAGCAGTTGGACAGGTGTACCTAATAAAGTGACCAGTGAGTGTAGAACATGTTTACTGGTCACACACAGAAAACTGAAAGTGATGTCTGGTATCTAGAGACCTACTGTCTTCAGGCAGGTCATTCTCCAGCTGGTCCAGCTCCATCTGTCGACACCAGCCCTCCATGCGGTCAGTCTCAGCTTGGAGCAGCTTCAGAAACCAGCGTCCGTCTCTCTGACAGACCGACCTCTGGACCACCTGCCAGTAAAATTTAGAACAGAATGAAACCATACAGCTGTATTCACGAGATTTACTTCACTTTGTCAGGTAAAAATGTCAGAAAGCTAACTGACTGAAAATCCTAAACCTCTAGACATTTGGTCAGTATGGAAGGTCTAGGACAGTTCATCCCTCTCAGGACAGATTATGAGGATGTACTGTTTATAAACTTAGCACAACATGTGAGGAAATTTGTGTTTGTCAGATTATGTCTTTATTGTAACAATGTGGAGAAAATCCACAAATGCACAGAAGGAACATGCAAACTCCACACAAAATGTAATACTACTTTAAAAAATCTAACCTAAGTAAAGTGATGGGATACGAGCAGGGAACAAATACACACATACCTCCAGGATAGCAGAACTACTGAAGTTGGCATCAAGTGGGTCATCAGTTACAGTGTCGATCCAGGGGTCTGGAGGGGGCAGGATGGATGGATCAAAGCCCACGTCCTCATAGTCATCAGAGGCACAGGCATGATAGTGGTTCCCTGAGCCCTGGATGCTGACGGTGGAGGTGGCAGCATCACGTGAATACTGTCGACAGAGACCACGAGGTGACAAGATGTCCCTGTGAAGGTTCGGAGAGTCCAAAGGTGTGTCCAGAAGGTCCGGCAAGTCCAGGTCTGCCTGAATGAAAAAAACAAAAACAAAGAATACCTAATACCATCCATCATCTTTACACTCTGCTTCCTTTCAGGGTCACTGGTACCCACATCCAGCAGCCACAGTGTGAGGGGTGGGGTACACCCTGGACAGGTCTGCAGTCCTTCACAGTAATAATACCAGGCTGAGGGACAGCTGTGTAAAAACTGCAGCTCTGTCTTGTTGATGAGTGAGCAGATTGCTCCTCTGCCTGTGGCTGCCCTCTAGTGGTTCAGTTTGACCCAGTTGGTCTAAAACAGGAATCTGTATCCTTTATGTTGCAAAGAACCATTTCAAACACTGCTTTGATCAGACTTGATCAAACTTTAGCTGTAATTTACATTTTAAATCACTCAAGCACTTTTGGCCTTAGATTATTTAGCATATTAAAGAGTTTTGTGAACTTTTTGATTTAGTGTAAACAGTCATCATTTTTCTTAAAGTTGTGCTTTGGACCTCTATACATAATTGCAATTAAAAGAAAAACATTATGGCTCCATATTGATCCTCTCGGTCTAATATTGTCCTCTCTGTGATGTACTCTTCCTGAATGGTCTCTGCTCTAACCCATGTCTCTGAATGTAGTTAAAGTTTGGAACATGGCTCGTAAAGTGGAGGGATGTTTTGATTGTACCTCCCCTCTCACTCCTATTCTGAAAAATCCAGACTTTTTGTCTGTTTGCAATGACCATGGTTTTCAGTAATTGGTTCCACAAGGGTATCAGAAGGTAGAAGGATTTATTTAAAGATTTGTTGGTCTTTACTGTCCTTCCAGCTAGCACAGTGGCAGTTTGGTTTAGAGATGGCAGATTTTTTTAAAGCTCCTGGGACTGAACCGGGCCGAGCCCAAAAGGATTACAAGAGGCCACATCCACGTGAGCCCACCACCCATGGGGAGGACCATCAAGGTCGGGTGCAGTGTGTGCCAGGCAGCAGGTGAAGGGGAGTCCCTGGCCGTGCTGATTCCTGGGCACAAAGACTGGCTCTAGGGAATGTGATCTCACTTGCAGGTAAGGAGCCGAAGCTTGTGGGTGAAGTTGAGCATTACCAAATAGATATACAGGTCCTTCTCAAACAATTAGCATATTGTGATAAAGTTCATTATTTTCTGTAATGTACTGAGAAACATTAAACTTTCATATATTTTGGATTCATTGCACACAAACTGAAGTTCAAGCCTTTTATTGTTTTAATATTGATGATTTTGGCAAAAAGTAAAGAAAAATAAAAAATCCCTATCTCAAAAAATTAGCATATTTCATCCGACCAATAAAAGAAAAGTGTTTTTAATATAAAAAAGTCAACCTTCAAATAATTATGTTCAGTTATGCTCTCAATACTTGGTGGGGAATCCTTTTGCAGAA